GACACTCAGATCAATGGAACAGAATAGAGAACCCAGAAATGGACCCAGAAACGTATGGCCAACTAATCTTTGACAAAGCAGGAAAGAATACCCAATGGAAACAGGCAAAAGACATGAATAGACACTTCTCCAAAGAAGACATCCAGATGGACAACTGACACATGAAAAAATGCTCAACTTCACTCATCATCAGGGAAATACAAATCAAAATCACAATAAGATATCTCCTCACCCATCAGAATGGCTAACATTAACAACTCAGGCAACAACAGATGTTGGTGAGGATGTGGAGAAAGAGGATCTCTTTTGTATTGTTGGTGGGAATGCAAGCTGGTACAGCCATTCTGGAAAAAAGTATGGAGGTTCCTCAAAATACCAAAAATAGAACTACCCTATGACCCAGCAATTGCACTACTAGGCATTTATCCAAGGGATATAGGTGTGCTGTGTTGAAGGGACGCATGCACCCCAATGTTTATATAGCAGCACCATCAACAGTAGCCAAAGTATGGAAAGAGTCCAAATGTCCATCGATGGATGAATGGATAAAGAAGAGGTGGTACATATATACAATGGAGTATTACTCGGCAATCAAAAAGAATGAAATCTTGCCATTTGGAACTATATGGATGGAACTAGAGGGTATTATGCTAAGCGAAATTAGCCAGAGAAAGACAAATATATGACTTCACTCATATGAGGACTTTAAGAAACAAAACAGATGAACATAAGGGAAGGGAAACAAAAATAATATAAAAACAGGGAGGGGGACAAAACAGAAGAGACTCATAAATATGGAACACAAACTGAGGGTTACTGGAGGTGTTGTGGGAGGGTGGATAGGCTAAATGTGTAAGGGGCACTAAGGAATCTACTCTTGAAATCATTGTTGTACTATATGCTAACTTAGATGTAAATTAAAAGAAAATAAAAATAAAATTAAAACAAATATTTTGTCCCATTCTGTAAATGCGTTTTCATTTTTGAATTTCAAAAAGCAAAAGTTCTTTTCTTTTTAAGTGAAGTCCAGCTTACCATCTCTTTTACATGTCATGCTTTAATGTTCCAACAGACCCTTGCCTACCCCAAAATTATAAGAATATTCTATCTGCTTTCTTCTAAAAGGTTAATAGTTTTTGTTTTAATTTCATAGTTTGACATTTAGATCTATAACCCATTTTGAGTTAATTTTTGTATATTGTGTGATGTAATCAATGCATTATTTTTTTTTCCACAGACTGCCCTGGACCAGTAACCTAGATTCTGGCATTTACTGTAGACCCTGGACAAGTTTAATGTTTTGGGGATGTTTTGTTAACAGTAAAATATAGGATTGCTGACAGGATTTAGGTTAATTTATGTTTAATATCAGCATATATTAGGTACTGCTGATGCTACAGATATGTCTGTTAGAAAAGTAACTGTCCTGGGAGAAGAACAGGAAAGAGGACTGGAAGTGTGAAAGTTAAACTGTTTACACATGGACAGTAGAAAGAGGGCATGTGATGCTGAAAACATGTAAGTTGTTAAGGCATTTAACATCAACTCTCCCCCAACTACAACCAGGTGTTGGGCTGGTGTGTAACTATATAAGACACATAGATTCCAATCTATCATAAATTCAAACACCACTTTAATCCATCCCTTTGATGTTTCAAATGGAGATTTCTAATAGCTGGTAAAAATGTGTGCTCTAGTTATACAGAGACCTCAAATTCATGGTCTAAGAATCAAAAATGCATCATAAGAATCTTTTGTTGGTGCAAATATTTCTAGGGGGTTATTACTTTGAAATAAATGCAATTTAACAAACGTTTATATAGCACCAAGACTATGGAATCTTAATTACTTCTGCAAAATGAAATTCATGTATTGTCCCAATAAAATGTTCATTGTTCAAGTCCATAAAGCCTTCACTGAAAGTGATTCCATTCTCTGTATACCAATTCACAATGTGAGCTTCTTACCACTGGGGCTCCCAAATATTCCTTGAAATTTGCATAAAGGTTTTAACGGCAACCTTTGGAGGTACTATCTTGGGTGCATCGTCTGTATCCCTCAGAAGCACAATGTACTACCCAAAATTACAATAAAGACCTCTTTTTATGGCTCCAGGGAGCTTCTCCACATTTCTTTAAGAGATAGAGCAACTTCACTCCTCAGCAACCAGCATCATTGGCCTCCAGTGGCCACCATCTCTCAAATAAAAGTCAGAGTAAGTCTAAATGGGGAGATTGTGCTCTTTCTGTTTTCTATCTGAGGCCCTAAACAACCACAAGCATTAAAAAAAGAGAAAATGTCACAATCAACAACATAACAAAACTTTCCTGTCGCACTGATCACTGTATGGCAGTACATGTTACAGAAGGAGAAGCCAAGTTTATGTCTATCCCTCCAGCCAAAGATCACCAGGAACACATACAGTTGGGTTTATGCTTGTCGTAATGAAAGAGATGCACAAATGGGGAACCATGGAGCAACTCAGTGATAGGATATTGAAGAGCACTTAATATTGGATTTAGGCTTGTGTCAGATGGTTTGTGGGGGGCTTCAAGGAAGTAGGGCTCTCCTCTGCATTGGATGTTGTCAAGAATTGGGGGCAATTCTGTGATTGGAATAAATCTCATCCATAAGATAAAAAGAATAAATCAAGGCAAAAGGTATAATTGGTAAAGAATCAACAGCCATTCATGTTAGCCAGGATAGGAAGATGTTTGGCATTTTTGTTTTTGGACAATATTCACGTGTTTAGTCATGGTTACAAAGTAATCTTGTTTTTTTCTTGACCCATTGTAGTCACAGAGTGTCCTTGTCTGGTGTTGTTCTGTGAAGTCGGTCATGGTCAACAGGACACTATTGCCTAACTGTAAGCATCAGGTAAGCTCCTACCAATGACAGGGCCTACCTGACAGTGCCACAGCAGTTCCTGGCTATCATTTTGTCAGTTGTATGGAAATGTACTCCAAAAAACATGGCCTAGACTAAAAGATTGTAGACAGCTTCTCTGAGGAACTGACATTTCCCCTAAGAGTTTAAGAGGTAATCTGTTGCCACAGCCCAAGGGCTCATTTAGCCCTTTCATTCTGTTTCCTTCCCCTCACCAACACTATTTTTTCCTGCAAGTGAATTATGCCTAGACAGGATGAGTCAAAGCTGGCTTCTCACATCATTCCCAACTTTCTCTAAAGTGAGAACATTCCCTGGCTCTGGAGTTTCTATGATAGTTTCTATTGTGAGAAAATTAATAATAATAATAATAGTAGTAGTAGTAGTAGTAACAAGAACAATAATAATATTCCAGTACAATTCAAAAGGAAAGTAAATGATAAATAATGTATACAAAAAATAGAACCAAAGATGTTTAAGGGTATTATAAGATTATTGGACAGGAAATAAAATAATCTAAATGCTTCCTTTCAAAAGTGCCTATCTGATGTAGAGTGGGGATACTGAAAATGAAGGATTTGGTCTCCAAAGTTAGTGAGCTGAATTTAATTAGTACCTGAAGAAAAAGTGAGAAAAAAAAAATACATATATCTTTTTTTCTCCCTCATTTCAAATCTTGGTGGTATAAACAAGAAATAGAAGTTTATACTGCTGTAAAATTAGTGAACTCTTGCCTAACTCACCTGATCAGTCTTTAAATCTCATGGAATTCCAGATCTTCAAAAGGCTTTAGGAGTTTAGAAAAGGTTAAAGCCTTGGGCCAATGGGCTGAATATCTCACCTGCTAATGTTCTGAACAATAGGTTTTTTAAACAAGATCTTTTTCTTATCTAGCAAAATAAAAAGCATCCCTCTGGGAAGTGGCTGTGCCTCCCTATGGGGAAGAGTGTACCCCACTCTTAAATCTAGAAACTGTATAAGAGAGCATCTTGATGATGATGTACTGGGACAGTTCTTACTACTTATGGCTTCAGTATTTGAATTCCCGGTGGCATTATTATTTTAAATATTTGGTTTTGAGGGTAAGTCATAGTAGTAAAATATGGTAAATGGGTTATTTTTTATTTTTCTAGCCAGCAAGAGATAATGCATTAGTAAACACCTCAAACCATCATTTGTGATTTTAGTTATAAGTTCAGATTTATTTCAACAAATACCTATCAGGGTCCCTAATCAGTCGAAAATTGTGCTAGGTACTTTCGCCTCACTCCATGCAACAATGCAGTAGGGTAAGTATTAATATGCCTGTTTTTTGAAGAAGAGTTCATAAGAAACTGTATTATTCTCCATATATCATTTAGTAAATCAAAATCCTGCTGATGGTGAGAAGCCCAGCCTATGAAATAGCACAGGAATCCCATCTCTGACCAAGAGACAACCTTCAAAGTACATTTAGCACAGATTCAGAAACATTGTGGGTTAATTCAGAGATGCAAGCCTAGAAGCCCACGTAGTAGATCTCTTTTACAGGTATGGAGATTGAATTCCATTTGACTGCAAATCAATTTCATATACACTCATAAAAATGTCTGTGTAATTACAGGGTACCAAATCCAATGCACAGCATCTAAGAACTAGCTCGAGAAGGCAGGGGCTAATTACTGTCTAGGATATAAAAGGGCACAAAGCACCTGGGAATCTAATTCCTTTTCACTACCACTTGCAGTAGTGGGTGTCAAGAAGTTAAAACACTCTTAGATTTCACATTTCTTTTTACTGATAAATATTTGCCAACATATCTTATATAATCAGACATATTTTAAGAGCTTGTAAGTTCTACCAATTTAAAATGATACAAGCAGGTGGCAAGAGCAGCTTCAGCAATAGAGGAACAGGAAAATCTGGCTGACAAGAATGCCACACTGTTGCGAACCTCTGAAGGTTTGGTTCTCCTTTTTCCACCATTCTATTTTGCGCGTTACAGGTGAACTTGCTCAATATTTCTGTTTTTGCAAATAATTATTTTGCTTCATGTTAAAAAAAAAGATATAGACATTCATTTTGGCTGTTTTATTACGATGTATAGCTAATGATATGTCAGGTGTTATTAATTGCTATCTGACGTACCAAACGTAAATAAACAGTGAGGCAGGCTCAAGACTCTCGCCCATTTTGGAAAACAGAGGAACACGACGGTAACCTGCAAAAGGAATCAGAGCTAATTAGAACAATAAAGATAAATTAGCAGTGTTCCCGATAGAGCTGCTGAGAAAGAACATTATCTTTACTAAGCATAGGTAAAAACTATGACAGCATAGTTATATTCATCTTGCGTGTTAATTCCCCACAAACTATAAAATATTTGAAGCTTCTGTTTTGACTTCTTACTGCCTAACGCTGAACACACAGCTCACACTTCTTCTCTCTCAAAGTGCAGTGTGCTAAATTAGCCACCACCCTTCTGCTTCAGACTCTGTTTCCAAGGTACAGCTCAGATGGTGTTAGAGAAGTAAACACAAACACGTTGGGACGAGGTAATTGGGGGCAGAGTATAAATCACCCCAGCAAGCTGACTACAACATAAAGGCAGCCCTGAAAAGAGTCAAGAAGGGATTGTCTTGGGTTCCCAGTCTCTCCTTGGGTAGAAGAATGGGTCACTGCTTGTCCCTTCTCTTTGATTCCCATCCTTTATTTCTTTGTGGTAGTCATGACTACTCTTAATTGAAACAAAAGAGCGATGATCCATGTAAAGAAATGCTCATACATACCAAATTGGTCTAATTTGTCTTCCCAGCAATCCCAAACCACAACCCCACCTTCCATGCGAAAACACATTTCTATAATTCCACTGAGAGAAAATGTGTGTCAATTCATAAAATTTCCTTTACATCTGACTCTCATGAATAGAGCTATTTGGTATATCAATGTGTGTCTTTGGTAAATTTAAATTATAATTGGTATCACAATCCTGTTACTTTTAGGAATATTACCTTTGTTCATGCTTAAAACTGGTAAAGTATATTGGCCAAGAAATTCATTTCCAGTTATTAAACCTTGACTTTCAACAACAAAACGCATCAATGCCAATTCTGGCACTTGAATAATAAATGTGAACGTTTCATTCCATCTTGGACTAAAAGCTGAAAGATAAAAGAAGATATAATCAAAGAATCATAGACGTGTTCTTTAGGGAATAATACATAATAGCTGCTCTCTGAAATTTTTCTTTTCAACACTTAGTAATGTTAATAGCTTATGTTTTAGAGCACTTGAATTTTTCACTCATCCAATGAGAAAGGAATAATAATGACAGTAGCAATAATTATTGGGTCTTTAGTATTGCTGGGCAATATAAGAACTTTAAGTAGATAATGTCATTTAATTCTTACCACAAACCCATCAGGGTTATTACAACCCATATTTACGGATGAGAAAACTGAGCCAGAAATATGTTACACAACTTCATCAGGGTTTCACATACATAGTCATTAAGTGGCAGGACAAGAATTCAAACAAATGGAGTCTGATTTCAGAGCAGAAATGTTTCATTAGGCAACATGAATGCTATGTTTGGGCATTTCAGTAACAAATACATTAAATAACATAATTTTTCTATAGCAGTTCCTATTATGGGAAGAACCCCATAGACAGTTGTTGGCCTAAGAGCTAAGTGCTCCAAAGCCAGCCTTTGATCCTTCTTTTGACTAAGTGCCCACTTTAAAGTCCCAAGTTGATGAGTAAGTTAGATCTCTAGCAAAATAAATCATCCCAAACAACAATTTCTTGCCAAATAAGAAATCCATCACAATATGACCCAAATCATCCAATTCTTAAGTGTAATTTAATGGAATCAAATTCACATCCGGGGGCCCTGGGTGGCTCAGTCAGCTAAGCGTCTGACTTCAGCCCAGGTCATGATCCCACGCTTCGTGGGCTCAAGCCCTGCATCCGGCTCTGTGCCGACAGCTTGGAGCTCAGAGCCTGGAGGCTGCTTCAGATTCTGTGTCTCCCTCTGTCTCTGCCCCTCCCCTGTTTGCACTCTGTCTCCCAAAAATAAATAAAAATTAAAAAAGAAATTCACATCCAGATAAAATATAAAATCTACTTAATAAAGACTCAAAGGTTCAGGGTGAAATAATATGTATTGTTTTCATGTACAAAGGTAATGCTATGCCTGCTATGTCAATAGGTTTTGCTCTTTAGGTCACCCTTCCAGAAGCATTAAAGAATTTGTGACTAATTTGTCACAAATTGTAAAGAATTTGTTTTCTGTGGTACATCTGTGGTCAACAAGCACACATTTACCTGAGAGTGATCCAGAATACTGTCTATGCCCATGAAAATATTAAACCAATTGACTCACACGGGTGTAATGAATGTATTACCTTGCCTTAAGAAAGGAAATAATTCTGGGACAACTGGGTGGCTCAGTCAGTTAAGTGTTCAACTCTTGATTTCGGCTCAGGTCATAATTTCATGGTTCATGAGTTCGAGTCCCACATCGGCTTCTCCACTATCAGCACAGAGTCTGCTTCAGATCCTCTGTCCCCCATTCTCTCTGCCCCTCCCCCACTCATGCTCTCTAACTCAAAATAAATAAGTTAATTTAAAAAAAAGAAAAGAGAAAACTCCATAGAGTACAAGAGCAGGTCTAAGAGTCAGTTCTTTATAGACCCTGCAAAATGTCTGCACAAAATTCTTATACTGACTTATCTTCCTCCTCCAACCCTAATTCACTCTAAACAGTCTCCCTTTCTCTGTCCTACATATATCATATATATTCTATGAGAAGGTCTTTTTATTTGTGAAAGAGAAAGAAAGAAAGAAAAAGAAAGAAAGAAAGAAAGAAAGAAAGAAAGAAAGAAAGAAAGAGAAAGAAAGAGACAGAGAGAGAGAGAGAGAAAGGAAGGAAGGAAGGAAGGAAGGAAGGAAGGAAGGAAGGAAGGAAGGAAGGAAGGAAGGAAGGAAGGAAGGAAGAAAGAAAAGGAAGGAGGAAAGAAGGGAAGTAAATCAGGATACCAAATTTGATAGTTACAGTTTTCTCTGGCATGACCAAAACTGAAGAATTGCTTCCACACCTTACCCAAATATGATCTTTTTCCTTCCACTCTCATGTCTCTTATTACACCACAATTACTCTAGCAGCTAAGCCACCTTAGTATCCCCCTTTGTCCAGCTTTTTAGACTTTTACTCCTGCTAGTCTTCCTCACATAAGTCCTCCATTGCTTTTCTGATGCCTGTGCCTTCTTTGGCCTGAATTCCCCATCCTCTAGCCATGAAGTCATATCCTGACTCTATTTTGTATTCCTCTTTTCCCCCACATACACGTCTTCCTACCTAATCTGTAGAAATAATCTCCTCAAAGCTCAACTATATTAGTGTTATATCCCTGCTTAAGAGTTTTAATTCTATTCATTTTCTACATACAACACAGAAAAGAAAGTACCTAACACCTCATCATGGCTCTCATGATTTTCCATGACCATTCCCAACCTAACTTTTATATTTTATCTCACACTAATCACTCTTAAGTACCCTGTACTTCACCCATTTTAAACTTCAGTACTTTCACCTAGCGTGTTTGAAGTTAGTCTTCTCCAGGTTTTAGCACGCATATTATTCCTTTTGCCTGCAATGCTTTCATCCACAATCTCTGGGAAAAAAATCCTATTCATTCTCCAAAACCATCTCCAAATGTGCCCCTTCCACTACAATTCTCTGTACTTTCCTTAATACACTAATGACTTGGGGCACCTGGGGGCTCAGTCGGTCAAGCGTTTGACTCAGGTCGTAATGTCACAGTTCATGAGTTCGAACTCTGTGTCTGGCTGACAGTGCAGATACTGCTTGGAATTCATTCCCTCTCTCTCTCTCTCTCTCTCTCTCGCTCTCTCTGCTCTCTCTCTCTCTCCCTCTTCCCCTCCCCTGCATGCTCTCGTTCTATCTCAAATAAAGAAATAAACTTAAAAAAAAAACACTAATGACTCTCGTGATAGTTTTATTGTATCTCATGTCCCATACTGAACTGAAAACTATCTAAAATAGAGTTAGTTGGGACATACATAAATAATAATATCTTTAATAAGTGTAGATCTTAAGTTTTTTGATACTTAGCATCAGACTTCTAATAAAACAGGCTCAGTAATGTTAGATACACCAAATATAATTTCACAGGAATATTTCCATAAAACCCAGGACGTAATCTAAATTCTAATGGGAGCTAGAAACACATTATAAGGGGTGTGCTGTATAAATAAATGTTCTGTGTATCTTGCCATGAAGATTCAAGTATGGGGATGAAGAGAACAAAAGGTAGGTTACTATAAGCTTCCTGACATAAGCAGCTACCATTTCTTGACAAATCCATTGTAATGTGCCTTCAGCTCTGAGGAACGACAAATAAGACGGCAGGTCATCACCAATATCCCTTCCCATCGACGACCTATGATGAAGTAACCAAAACTCCCCACATCTTTTTTCCATGCCCTTTGCATGAGGGGCCACACTGGAAGAGTATTTGGGGTGTCAGTGCAGGGGGCAGATGGTGTATATTACTGGAGATTACCCACCCAAGAAAAAAAAGAGTGTTAAAACTGCACCTGTTTTTCTGTCAGTGCCATTTAATCTGGTATGTACTTTCAGACTCTGAAATGAAGCCTACTATACTTTGGGAATACCCACTCAAAGAAAATTACAGACTCAAGAATCAGTTCCAAGGTCTCCTCCAAGGTGATCCTGACTAAAGGTCAATCCCAGGAATCTACACTGTAATGTCCTTAATGGTTTCAAACTCAACCAAGAAGTGACAACATCAATACTGTATTACATAAAATATCACAGGATTGTGGAACTGAAAATCTTACCCAAGTCACTTCCATTTCTACATTTCCCTTCTGGCAAAAATGACTGAATTATGAATCCAAATATTGTATGAGTGGGTTTCTATGGCATCTTGAGCCAGAGCCAGAAGCCACAGACCTTTGATCTAAAATAATTCAAACAGCGAAGTAAAAATGGGTAACATGCTGTATCAGAACAACTGTACATTCTTTATTTTACACAAAGGCTAGAAGCTAAGCAGCTTTGCAGCCATCAAAATGCCTCTTGAATTCAGCAATATGGTACATAAAAAGGAGGTCAAAGTGTAAAAAAGCAGTAATTTCGGGTGCCTGGGTGGCTCAGTCGGTTAAGCATCCGACTCTTGATTTCAGCTGAGGTCATGATCTCATTTTTTTGTGGGTTCAAGCCCCACATCGGGCTCTGCACTGATAGCATGGAGTTTGCCTGGGATTCTCCCTCTCTCTCTTTGCTCCTACCCTGCTCACACTCTCTCTCAAAATAAATAAATAAACTTAAAAAAAAAAAGAAGCAATTTTCAGACCAGATAAATTTTTGTATCTGTAATCTGAAAATATATCTGAACAATACATTGAATCATTATCAGATTGTTTTTGCTGTATATAACACTTTGGTCACCTTAAACCTAATGCAAAGCCCTTGCCTTATGAATAATAAATATGTATCAAAACTCTATCAATAGACAAATTATAAGCTTTCCAGCAAGAAATCTAGTAGAAGTTCAATAAAATATGTTAGGAGCTCACCATTTCTTTTAATGACACGAGTCTGCTGTTTCGTTTGATCATTTGGAACACCAAAAAGTTCTAGAATCACTAATGCGTCAGCTTTGTTAGATGATGAATGGTTACTGGGAGGTAACTGGATACCACTGATGAGCTGCACAAAAGTATTTGAACACAGAAATTTAGCAGGATATCAAACTGTACGGTCATGTAATTTGAAAATAAAACATGTATTTCAGAAAAGATTATAGACTCTCAGTTCCCACAAAAAAATTAAGAGTGGAATATAGTGTATATTTTAAACTTTAACCCTTTTATTCTCAAGCGTCAATAGGTAAATACTAGGAATATGTCTACATTATTCTAATTTCACTATATAATTATAGTAGAATTCACACTGAGTTTTGTAGTTCAACGTGTATTTTTATTTTTAAAGTATCTGTTTTGGGGGTGCCTGGGTGGCTCAGTCGGGTAAGCGTCTGACTCTTGATTTTGGCTCAGGTCATGATCTCACGGTCATGAGTTTGAGCCCTATATCGGGCTCCCTGCTGTCAGCACAGAGTCTGCTTCAGATCCTCTGTCCCCTCTCTCTCTCCCCCTCTCCTACTTGAGCTCTTTCTCTCAAAAAATCAATAGATGTTAAAAAATAAAATAAAATAAATCAAATAAAGTATTTTATGGCTGTTAAAAGCCATTGCTTAAAAGTATTGTTATAATCACAATCTACTGTAAATCAGGCCGAAGTACTCTGATAACATGAACCATTTTGAAATTCATATTGTCTGTCTACATCCAAAAATTAGAAACAATATTAATACTACTTCTGAAATGTAAGAAAAAACACTGCATAATTTCCTATGATAGCATTCTTGATAGTATAATTTATATGTTTGGATAATTTATCACAAAATCTTATATTATCTCTTGTTGTCAATATTATCATAACTAACCTGAGTCTGACAAAACCAATGATTTCATATGTATATTAAGAACTGGGTATCAGAACACTTAAACTAATCATAGTTTTATTTTACCTTTTATTAGTCAAACTAACTGTTGAAGCTAAGTTTTGTCTTACTTTAAGGAGCAAAGTCCAAACAAAAGACAATTATTCAAGTGTATTCATTTGTAAAATGTACTAACATAAAAATTGAGGCAAAATTTTAATTTCTGAAGATTATAATAAACAGGAACAAATAAATAAGTTTCAATAAGAATGAAAGAAGGAAGGAAAGAAGGAAGAGAAAAAAAAGAAACAGAAAAAGTGCCAATGTGTAATTTTTCCTCTCCTACATCCACACATTTAAACATTAGCTGGAAACCAGGGTGACTGTGCAAATGTTTAACAACTAGTATGGAATGGGCATTGATCGACCAGCATAAATTAGACACCAGGTTAGCTAGACAGAACATTGGCCATAAATAACTAGCACACTGACACGAGAGCCTACCAGCTGAATATCCCCTCTGCAGGTAATAGACCCTTGCCGATATGGAAAAGTTCGGCTTTTAAGTGCACATCACACCAAAAAAAAAAAAACCTCACTAAAAATAATAATAATAATTGAATATGAGAACTGACAGAGAATTTAGAAACTATTATTCAAATAATTTTTACACTCTGATTCACAGAAGCCCTTTCAGGGGCCACCACAGAAGACAAATGTCAAACAGAAGACCTTTAGTGGTCAACAAGAGCACCTCTGCTTTCATCTATTGGCCTTATGCATCAGACTTTGAACTTGGAAAATGGTTGCACTGTTTTTATAAGTTCGAAAAGGGTTGACCTAATCTGAAACTCTTAATTTGAGAGATGACAAAGATTAAACCAGAAATGTTGAATTGTCTTTATCGGGGACATAAAGCAAATGGCAAAACTATGCCTTTTGAACCCTGAGTCATGCCTTCCCCAATTTGCACAAGTTGTAATCACAAAGCTCCCTACGATGATCAAAGCAAGCAAGAAAGACCCACGTGACTATGGCAGCAGTTTCCTGGGAAAATCATTAATCGTGCCTGTTTTACATCATGCCACTTATGTCGCTACATGAGACCCTTCAGAAGCAAACAGGTGGCATTTGTAAACATCCATGCATACTAGCCATCTTCCATCTTCTCTTTCTCAATCAAAGAGCACATATGTTCTCTTTACTATTCTTAACTTGAAAAAGAGGTCATTCATTCAATTAACTTGCATATATTGAACATACACTTTGTGTCAGGCACTAGGGATAAGACTTGAATGAAACAGTCCTCATCCTTACAGGGCCTTCAGACAAGTGGGGGAGAAAGACAAGTACAAGTAAATAAACAATTACAGGGGTACCTTGTTTTATTGAGCTTCATTTTATTCCATTTTGCAGATATTGCATTTTTTACAAATTGAAGGCTTGTGGCAATTCTGCATCGAGCAAGTCTATTGGCACCAGTTTTCCAACAGCATTTGCTCACTTCATGCTTCTGTGTCACATTTCGGTAATTCTCACTTTTAAACCTTTTTATTATTATTATATTATTATAGTGATCTGTGTTCGGTGATCTTTGATATTACTATGGTAATTATTTGGGGGTGCCACAAACCATGCCCATGTAAATCAGCAAACTAATAAATGTGTGTGTGTTCCAACTGCAGATGTGGTGGAGACAGCAAGAGAATTACAAACAGCAGTGGAGCCTGAAGATGTGATTGAATTACTCCAATCTCATGATAAAACTTGAACAGATAAGTTTCATCCTGGGGAAGATGCTGTGATGATTGTTGAAATGACAACAAAGGATTTAGAATATTACATCAACTTAGCTGATGGAACAGTACCACACTACCCAAATCTCCAGCAACTGCCACCCTGATCAGTCAACAGCCATCAACATTGAGGCAAGACCCTCCACCAGCAAAAAGATTATGACTTGCTGAAAACTCAGATGATGGTTAGCATTTGTTAGCAACAAAGTATTTTTAATTAAGATACGTACATTTTTTTAGACAGAATACTACTGCACACTTAATAGACTATAGTATAGTAGAAACATAACTTTCATATGTTCTGGGAGACCAAAAGATTCATTTGACTTGCTTTATTGTGATATTCACTTTATTGTGGTTGTCTAGAATGAAACCTGCAATATCTCTGACATATGCCTGTATAATACAATGGCTACTATATGCATGTTTAGGGTGTCATGGAAAAACAAAACTACAAAAAGAAGCGTAACTAATTTAGTGGAGGAAAAAAACTTCCAAAAATAAGTGACCCTGTAAATCTTGAAAAATAAGTGTGAAGGCAACAGGCAGGTGAAAGCTGGAAGAATAATCCAGCCAAAGGAAAAAGCATAAGCAATGCATGCAGGTAGCATGTGGACAGAAAAGGCTTCCATATGGTTACCGAAAAAGCTACAAGACTGGAAGTGGTGAGAAGTGGGGCTGGAGAATCAGGCTAAGCCCCAACTAAGAAAGCAAGCAGGAAGCATAAAGAAATATTAAGTAGGCATGATGAGATTAGTACGGAGCACAATCTCTCTGGGCCACTTGTGAAGATGGGTCAGGAGGACTGAGACAGGCTAAGTGAAAACCCCTTAGAAGGTCAAAGGAATAAATGTGATGACAGGTAACAAATTCTTTAAAAAAAAAAAAAGTAGCATATGGCATCAGACCAAGAGATTGGATAAGGAAGATATTTCGAAGTAGGATCAGTGAAATTTAGAGATGGATTGAACACAGTAATTGATAAAGATGTGGAAAGAGAGGAATGGTTCCCAATTTTGTAGGCTGAGTTAATTGACACAATGAATTCGACTAAGTTCATTGACCTTTAAAGAAAATAAGATTGGACCAGGCAGGGGCGTTCAGCCTTTAATATTTTTAAGTTTGACAGAACAGGGATTAAACAGGTAAGGATTCTAAGTAAGGTATTTAAAATATTCCTTTACATTCCAGAAATGAAGTCAGATTAAAGATTTGGGCATTGTTGGCAGTTGAAACCACGAATGTATATAAAAGGACACAAGGAGAATAGTTTGAGATGAGGATTAAGAAAAAGCCTTAGCAATATAAATATTTCAGAGCTGGGTAGAGGAAGAGGAGCCCACAAATGTGAACAAGAAAGAATCGTTTGAGACAGAGACAGGTAGGAAGAGATAGGAAAGCCCAGCACAGTAAGCAGATTTGTGAGGAATAGATCACAAAGCGGCTGATTCCTCCCTTTCTCTCACTGGAACAGCAATGACAATTACTAGACTAGGTGTTTAGAACAATGCAGACTTTCGCATTTTTTCATTCATGCAAAAAGGCAACAGGGAGACCTTGGTTCAGATGTAGAAAGAGATTGAAATACCACCCACCTATTGAGGCTGAAGAGATCAACAGAAATTTAAAAGGCATTAAAGGAAATCAACAGAAGTTAAAATATTAATGTATACTTTCCAGCTAACACCATAACGAAAAAGTAAAAGAAAAATTTACTAATCTTTTAAATTGTTCTATTAAAAAATACAAAAAGAATGCCAAAGTTATATTTGCAAAGGCAGTTTAATGGACAATATTTTGCTGGATCCTAGAAAGAGTGCCAACTAATTGATTTGAGGCTGCATCGGTGCTGAAGGCAGTTTCTACCTAGCTACCATATGCCCTTACTTTAGAGTCTCAGAATCTCTAACAACCAAGAAAAAAGTCAACTACATACTTTGGCACTATACTACTATATAGTCTATATATAGCTACTGTATATGTATATATTTGCTGCCACTATCTGCTGCAGTGGCCAGGATCATTTCTGTCTCATTCAATTTTGCTATACTCTCTTTCCACCTCCATCTCTGGAAAACGGCACATCTCTTAAGTTTCCATTCTCAGCTGGGACAAAAAGGCTAGGGCCTGAAGTGGATGAAAATAGTCCCCCAAGCCCCGTGACATCAGGACCGTAGAGGAAGGAGCCAAGGGAGGAAGACTTATGGGGGCGTGCCTTCTGGGTGATAGCATTTCCTGCACTCTGACAGCCAGGGAACCAGAGAAGGCAAGCTCTCACCAGCCAGCAAGCCAACACACTCCCGAGTGAGAACAGGAGACACAAAAAACCTGATGGGGTGGGGGGTGGCGCTAGGTGGCTCAGTTGATTAAGGGTCCTACTCTTGATTTCAGCTCAGGTCATGATCTCATGGTTCATGAGATCGATCCCTGCATTGGGCTCTGTGCTGACAGCACCAAGCTTGGTTGGGATTCTCTCTCTGCTCCTCTCCCACTGAGCACACATGTGTGCGTGCTCTCTCTCAAAGTAAATAAAATAAACTTAAAAAAAAAGAACCTGAGATGATTCTTATGGTTCTAGGAGCAACTGGTTAATTAAAGACAGGAACTAAAGAGCCCTACCCACCCAATTTGTTGCAAACCACAGGTGCAGATACAATCTAAGATAGAATTGCTTATAACTAAATGGACAGAAAAAGCTAGGGGCTTTTCAGATGATTCAGTGACATTTAAAAAAAGGAAATAAATATAGCACTTTGGTTATAGAAGAATAAGAAAGTTTTCAAAAAAGTCTATACTAATGGAAACAATAAATTTTAGACAACTACTTTTACTCCCAATAAGACGACACAGACTATATAATAAAACAAAAGATGAAATAACAAGACAGGAGTCAGGGGGAAAGGGTGCTGGCTAGGATACAGACAGAAATAAAAAGGAAGCAGTGTGAGGCAAATAAAAATTAGAGGGGAAGAAACCGATGATGCAGAAGAAAAATTCACATCTACATTAGAATCAGTAAAGAATAAAATCAGATATGGAGGAAAATCAAAGGCAGAAAAAAAAAGTGATTGAATTGACAGGAATTAGTACACATGCAGGCAGATACTCATGAACAGCGTATGGATACTTTTGGTTTCTAAGTACTAACCAAACACTATTCAGAGACAAGGGGCAAAACTTCTGAGCTGTGGAAGTCTAAATCTGGAGATTAATGAAAAGCAAGGTGCTCCTAAAATCTTTTAGTAAAATTCTGTGAAGTTAAGGAGGAAGAGAGTAGCGTATCCACAGGGTAACTAGTGGGCTGAACTCAGACTTCTCTATCACATTATTAAATGCCTAAAGATGATGGAATAAAAAAACTTTGGCGAGGAGAAGATTTCAGCATCAATATTTCTATTCACAAGCAGGGTAATCATTCATGCCAGAAGTCAACAGAAAGATTTTCAGATACAGAATGGTGCTGAAATACCACTCCTTTTTAATATGTAAAAAGATCAACTAAAATTTAAAGGACATTAAAGGAAATTAGTAGAACTCAAAATATTAATGCATACTCTCCAGTTTATACAATAACCATAACAAGTAAAAGCTATTAATCTTACCCTTATTGTAAGTGTAACTGGATCACTCTGATTTGGTGGTTTATTCGGATTAAACTGTGTTTTAATATCTCTTAGGAACTGTGGTTTCAAAATATATCCAGAACCACCATTATCCAAAAATTTCCCATTTTGAAGATCCATAGGCAGACCAGGTGTCTGGAAATTTAAGGCCACTGTGAGCAAAAAGTATTTTGATATTGTCAGGAAGTAGAGGGTACAATTAAATAAACACAGTTAAAAGATATACTGAAACCTAATCATGGATTTTATATCTCTAAACATTTTAAGAGCAAGCATCATTAGCCAGAATAATTCCTGATTTTTAAGCATTTCATCCTGCCATGTGTATATTAATTTACGAAGGTGAGTTTCAAAGTTCAATTTTTAAATTATAACTTTCATTTAAAAATCAAGCTGGCATACAATATAAATTATAGAATAGCAAGGTACAGATCAGATGACATTCAGGAAATACAAGAATAGAGAAAATCGGCACACTAGGTGCCAGAAGAAAAGACACCAAATATATTATAAACTTTCAGGTCCAAAAATATATTATAAACTTTCAGGTCCAAAGGGAGACTTGTTATCACTTAAAGAGAAAGGGAAAAACAGGCAGAGCAATAATTGCTGTTAAAATATAAAAATACATCCGGGACACCTAGGTGGCTCAGTCGGTTATGCGTCTGACTTCGGCTCAGGTCATGATCTCACAGTTTGTGGGTTTGAGCCCCACATTGGGCTCTGTGCTGATAGCTCAGATTCTGGAGCCCACTTCGGATTCTGTCTCCCTCTCTCTCTCTGCCCTTCCCCAGCTCTCAGTCTGTCTCTCTCTCTCTCTCAGAAATAAATAAACAATAAAAAAATTTTAATAAAAAAATAAAAATAAAAATACATCCATATAGGCTGGTAATACCATCCTCTCTCTCCCCAACATCCCCTCCTAACCCCACTCTTCCCCTCTCTCCACAAACCTATGAGCCTTGCTGCAATCCAGGAGCAGAGGGCTTTACACCTGGTACCTTCTGACTGGTTAGTGCCTGTGTGATAACAGCTAATCAATTTGGAATAAGGAAAGTCTGGTAAAGACAAATAACAAAGCTATGCAATCTCATTCACTTTTCAGTACTGTGAATGTAGAACCGGCATAAAGTATAAAAGGTAGAAGTCACTTGATTTAAAGAAGCCCTTAGCAAATCTTTCAAGCAAAGAACTTGATATTCACTGTCCTCTGACATCTTTTTATTTCTTTTTTCTCTTCCTACCTCTCCCATGCTAACTCTTCATGAATTTAACTTCCATGTGCCTAATTCTCACTTAGATTTACCCTCTCTGACCCATTTAGGAATAACTTCAGCTCTTGAAACCAATGATTCAGCATTATTGCCTGACCCCAAAACACCTGGGGTCAAAAAATCTACTGGGGAAGTTCTTTTCATAAGTCGTTCATTAATTCATAAAATGAATTTATTATCTTCTTTTTGCCAAAACTCAGTGTAACATACCCATTTGACAACCTATATTCCAAAATTCTTGAGGATTAAAATTAGAGGAGTCTGTTCTTGTTGCTTTGGGATAAATTCTGGTAATGAACCTCCTGGTGTGAAGAACAAACTCGTGGGCTAAAAAAATATAAGAACATCATGAGAGATTTCAGATAAACTAAATAAACTGCTATGCCTCTCTACGTGATAGAATCCTAAAATTGTTTCAGTACTTCTGATATGTATTGTTTAGGCAAAAATATTTGCAATTCATGGAAATCAAAATAAATCCAGGTCTTTGACGGTGCAATTCACTCTTATTGAGAAACTAATAATTTTTATTCGACAATTTTATGTATACTAAGCATTCACTTGAGAAAAAAAAATTAAATAATGTATTTAATTTTTTCACATCCAAACTAATTTCTTTGATGTAAGAATATATAAAAATCCCAAATAAAATGCATCCATTTTTTTAAAACAAACTTGTATCTTTCTTCATTTTGTCTTTTTTTTACATTGGTTTTCACATTAGGGCAGAATCACATGTAAGTCACATAAAGAGATATAATGCCATCCAAATTAACCCAGCTGAATAGTCAACAGATTCTCAGCATTGAAAGGGACCTTAAAGTTATTCAATTCAGCTGCCAACCCTAACCACCACAGCATCTTCCCTCAAATTGCTTCAATGTCTATTTGCATGTCTCCACTGAAAGAGAACCTGCAACCTCCCAATACAGCAGTCCTCCCTTATTTGTGGTTTTGCTTTCCATAGTCTCAGTTACCCACAGTCAACCAAGGTCCGAGGCAGATCATCCTACTTCTGACAAATCACCAGACAGTCACTAGTACCCTAACACTGCATCACAACACCTGCATCATCCACCTCATCTCATCTCATCTCATCACGTGGGCATATTACTATCTCACATCATCACAAGAAGAAGGGTGAGTACAGTACAATAAGGTATTTTGAGAGAGACCCCATTCACATAACTTTTATCATAGTATGTTATAGTTATTCTATTTCATTGTTAGTTATTGTTGTTAATCTCTGTGCCTCCTTATAAACTCAACTTTATTATAGAAATATATGTACAGGACAAAACATAGCATATATAGGGTTGAGTACTCCACAGCATCAGGTATCCAGTGTGCATCTTGGAATGTATCTCCCATGGATGAGGGAGACTACCGTAGTTCTGATTATTTCAAATGTTTTCCTTACTGAGATAAGGTCTATACTTAGAGTTCACGCACACGTATGCACAAACACACACACACACACACACACCACACACACAGTCCATTTGTTTCTATTTATGTTTCTACTTACATATTTTTACAAGCTTATATATATGTATATATTCTATTTAAATCACTTGAGATTCAAAACTAATTTATGCCCTTTAACATTGGACATCTTTGAATTTTTTAACACAGTTTCGTGTTTCTCCAAGGCTTTTATTCTTTCATTAAGCAGATCCTGTTCCCACAACTACTCCTGCTAATATGGTGACCAGGATTAGGAGAAATGCTTATTGCCTATGGCCCACTACCTTTGATAGTCAAACTAGAATAGAATCATTGTCAAGTTAAAAATTATAATTACTGAAGTTAATAATAATTAACTTCATCAGCTCTCAATTTTAGAAGTTACACACTCCTTGAGAGAAAGTTTATTTTGAAGCTACTCATGTATAAATACATCATGTATGTCCAACTATCATGATCCCTTATCCAGCCCTAAACAAGATGTTTATCTTTTGGTAAAATCTATACTCTTCTGGATCTTAATTTTGCCTATCTACAAAGTGATAAAGATGAATGATTACCAAAGACCCTTAACATAATATCATCTTGTTACTTCTGAAATTGAGTTTTAAAAATTAAACATACTATGTTATTATACATGCAATTTATGTTCATTTTAAATAAATGAGAAAATCAAATAAGAAAAAATAAAAAATAAAACTATATATAATCTCATCACTCAATTAAAAACCAGGTAACTTCTTAGTATATATCTTTTCACTCTATTGTCATATGTATATTCTTATTTTTTATTTAATCATATTATTTGTTCCCTTTTATAAACTTCCATTTTTTACTTAAAAATAGTATGAAAAATAATTAATTCCATTTCAGTAATATTCACCTACTACATTATTTTTAAATGATTAAAATGTCTCCACTCATATGAAAAGTTGTTTCTGATTTTTCTGCATTATAAATTTAGTGACATTTAAGTTTTTAATAATGATGGACATTCTTGGAGCATACCTTCGCCCCAGAATTAATTATTTATTACTGGATTTTGGTGGAAGAAAAATGCTCTATACTCTTTCCGAAGAGACGGTGATGCTAAACTTTATGACTCGACTCAGAACTTCCCAGTCCTTATCAAAGTTTGAGCAGGTGGCTAACACAATGAGAGTGAGAGAATTAGAACTACTTTTGCTGTGCGCTGAGGTCTTGTCCCCTTGAACAACAAAAACCATCCAATAGTTTGAAAGAATAGAGGCTAGCAAAGTAGGTCATTCAAATTTAAACCCTGTTAACAATACTCACAGGAAGAAATATATTTTATATGACACCCAACACACAATATACACACATAATTGTTTCATTATGTTTCCCACTTACTTATATTGCATCTCTTCTATTCTATTCAAGTCTATTCTATTCTATTAACTGTGGTTCAGCCCTACTGAATTTATTTCAGACACAATCTACAGTTAAAAAACAAGCAAACAAAAGGACTTAAAATACCTAGAGACAGTTTGAAGAGATGAGCTGAAGTATACCTCAAAACACTTTGGGCACTGGTGGCCAGCCCAAAGAGGTTAACCAAGAAATATATCAGAATCTGTATTTCCAAATAGCCAACAGCTTTTTTGAGTCAGTTGTATTTTTTAAGAAGGATTTGGAGAGTCACCTGACTACTGAGTTAATTGCTTATCCCTTTTTTACTTTTTTTTTTTTTAATTTTTACTTTTGAGAAAGCGTGAGAGGGAGAGGGGCAAAGAGAGAGGGACAGAGGATCCGAAGCAGGCTCCAAACCAACAGCAGAGAGCCTGATACTGTGCACGAACCATGGTTTCACGACCTGAACTGAAGTCAGATGCTTCACCTACTGAGCCACCCAGGTGCCCTGTCCATCCCTTTTTTAGCTGAGGTTATTCCCCAACCATACAAGTCTAACAAAAGGGTAAGGTCTGCTTCCCATCCTCTTTCCAAGACCTTGCATCTTGGCTCTAGCAAACAGAATCCTCCAACTCAGGTTACGAGTCGGAAGACAGTAAAAAGAAGCCATGCAGACCAGCGGCACCACTGCAGACGTGCCAGGACAGTACGCACTCTGTATAGCCGTCTGGTAGCCTGCCCTGGATGCACGTCCTCGCTCTCCACCTGGGACATACGGGTTCTAGATTTATTTCATTGTCTATCTTAGGTGCCTGCTGAGTCTACACAGTTCACTGTGGCTCTGTGCTCTCTACCATGAGCCTTCCTCATGTCCCTACAGGAAGTCTCACCATTACACTGCTATCAAAGACATCCTTCAAAAACACATAGGGGATGGCGTGACTCCTGAGACTTCAATCTTCTCCTGCTTGCCTTTGATTCTAAGACAAAGTTCACTTCCTTGTAATTTGGTTCTGCCTACCTCTTCAACCTTGTCACTCACGGCTTTCCTCCACTAACTGCTCACCAGAGCTCTCCCTACAAAAATGTCCATGCTGGACATTGCCAAACAAAATTTCATGACTTAAAAAAATTAATTAAACAAATTCTGTGAAATAAAACTTCATGTGACCTGAGGCAGATAGCCTCTTTTTAAATTGCATCAAATATGTTGAAAGCTTATGAGAATACCGTCTTTATAAATGTCGTTGACCAATCTTGACATTTTAGCAGTGAATAAAAGTTGTTTAAACACTTCATCTGTTTGAATCATAAGAATTTACCTCTCAGCTTTAAAAGTTTTCGGGCTTCTGTCTCCCCAATAGAATTACTTTCATTAAATTGCTGATACAGTCTTGAATGCTGAAAGCTTCTGAACCTCTCAGCTTTGGTATAAATGACAAGATCAGATAGGGCCAGAGCCACCTTTACCTTTGTGGTATAAAAATAAAATGCAGCAATTTCATATTTTTGTACGAATCATTTGAAAAATGCCTTTTCCAATAAAGAAAATATGCTTTCAGATCAATTATATCATTCTTTTCATAATAATATCTCCCCAAAAACCATTTGGATTGCATCAATGTGATTATTTTTCATGATGATAGTATTTAATGTTAACATGAGACAGCCTATAATCTAAAATCTCAACTAATGTAGTAAATATTGAAGATAACAATGATCACTATTTCTTTTTTCCCAAAGATCTGTTTATGAATTTGACAACTTTAGGGTATTTATTCATGAGTAAGTGTATTTCCAGTGTGATCTAACACTTGGGAATAACTTCTGTTGTATAATATACAGCTGCTCTTTGACAGCCCAGCATCCCTCTCCTCTACACATCTGTTAGCCCCTTCCCAAGTTTTGTTTTGGGAAAACATTCCTTGCTCAAGCTTAATCCGCGTGCTTAAGTTTGACAATATGGCTCGGATCTGGCTAATCACAGTTTTGCATTCCCCTGCAACAGCACCTGACTCAGGGATGTGCACATCGCTGGATCATAGCCAATGCACAAAAAAAATGTGCTTGGTCATCTGAGAGATAAATAGGTCTTCCATTGGATTTGAGCCTGAAAGCATATAAAGCTAGAGCTTTGTAAAGTCTTGCACCAATGTGGAGAAAGTAGGTCCAAAGTTGGAAAAAAGTCCATTCTGTGGACTTAAGTTGAGACACTATACCATGTCATTCCTAAAATTCAAAGACTTTTCCCTGCACTTTTCTTGATGTGGGCCAATTAATTAATTCACGTTTTACTTAAACCAGCTGAGTTAGTTTTAGGTCACTTGCAACTCAATATAACTTCTTTTGTCATGTTAATTTGCATACTTATAAGACTGTATATTATTACAGTGGTTTTCTTGACTCTGACAGCATAGTCTCCTTGAGGGCAGAAATATTGGGTTGTTTGCATTTTGTACAGTGCACAATGCCTACTACCTAAAAATGCATAATATTTGGCCATAGAACAAATTAAAAACAGCTAATGCAGGAAAAGAGATAACTTTAAATTTTTCTTTTCCGATAATTTTTTTCCAAACAAGTTTTAAATGATAGACTAGAATTTTTATAAGGAAGAAAAAGATTTTTCCCTCTAAAAATTTTTTTTAATTCTCCACCAATAAGAAAATAAGACAACTTTTCCATCACTTGTAAGATTTTCACAAAGTGTCATCTTACCTTCCTTTTCTTGAAAAGTGGTAATCCAGCTACGCTTATTATCTCATCTTCCTTTCCTGGATTGTCTTCTGATCCAATCAATGTTTCTGATCCTTTGATTTCATCTTGATATATCTCTTCAAATTCCTCTACCTGACCATGCTTATTAGAACCTTTCCTTTCATGGGTTTCCCTTAAGGTTCCTATTTTCTTGTTCCTAACTAATACTTTGAATTTTAATACCTACAGAAACGATTTGAAAGAGAGATACGATTACACATTTACAGGGAAGTTTGTATTTTAACAGTCATTGAAAAGTCACCACGTTTTCAATTAGCCCACAGTAATAAAATACATAAGAACTCCATCTTTATCCATACCCCTATAGAAATACCCTGATAAAAACTAGTGATATTATAGTATTGACCCAAATTCACCCCAAAATAAGCCTGCTATGATTTGGGACTTACTGTAGCTCCCTTTCTTTTATATATTCCACAAATTGCTACTCTTTTTAAAAACTGACACACATGAAAATTGTATATTTCTACACATATCACATATATTTATATGTAATTTATATATATTATATTTATGTCTAATATTTTATATGTTATGTTTATATATGTTAAAATACTTGCAATGCTACACAAGTTAGAATGTTACAACTTCTGGTAGTAAATGCTTCCAATCATTACTGTTATCCAATATTAAAAAGTTATTAAATGAGATCAGGTATTCAGAAATGTCTATTGTGATGTTTGACACCTAAAATAGACTAAATTTAAGGTAAATATTTGTAAATATCTTCTTCATATTTCAACTGTATTTCCCCACATGCATCATCAACTTAATATTTCCATCAAAACTAGGAGCATAGCAAAATTCCCCATCAGGGTCCCTCATTGTAAGTCCTAAGACTTCCAATTCCTTTCTTTCCCTTAGTTATTCCTACCCTTTTCAGCCATTAATTAACTCATCAACATACTTATCAAATGTCTGCTATGTTTTATATATAATGCTGCAGGAATCCGGGGTATGAAGTAAAGTTATTTTCTTCAAGGAGCTTTAATTTGTCTCTTCCCTTTGTTATCCTCAGGTACCCACTCAAATTATTTCCATCATCTTGGGCCTTCTCTCTATTACAATGGTCCTTACATTACTCTCTAATGTGGAGTTTACCAAAGTGCACTATGCAATCGCATGCATCAAAAGCATCACCCTGGAGTGCTTGTTAAGGGAACAGATTCCTGGGATCTACTGCAAAATTAGAGAATGAGAATATTACGTTGTGGGAATAGAATTATGCCTTTTTAACAAGTCTCCAGGCAATTCTTTTGTACACCAATGACTGAGTGAGGTATGAGAAAATTACCATTATCTCTAATTCCTCATTTACCCTTTGGAAAGCATCTCTTTACTTTAGCATAGGAGCAAAAACATTAACAAAAACTACATATGTGGATGCTAAGAAGTTGATTTATAAATAATAGGGTAAGGGATTCCATTTCTAGAAATCTAAAAATTGTTACAGGTTTCCTGAATTAGACCATTAGATTAAACCTTAGATTACATCTTTATTAGATTAAATCTTTGATAATATATTTCCACACTTGGCACAAGGTCTTTAATATCTCTTTCTTGTCACAATTAAACACATGTAGTCTGTGAACATTCTATGGAGTGAAAGAGTCAGTGTTTCCATCTGTTCAATTGTTTCTGTCCATCTCATTCTTATCATGAGTCCTATACTTCTAATCACCAGTGTTACAACACTTTCATCTTTAAATTTTCTACTCATATAAATAAAATAAGGAAAAATATTTTTAAAAATTCAAATATGACACAAATACTGTTCTACATCTAAAATGACGACACGTCAAAACTAAATTATTGTTAGGCAATACTATCATGTAAAAGAAAAAATGTTTATCACCCGATGACATTTGAGGTGAGGAGAGTAGGCTGGCAGAGGAAACTAAAAAGAACTGGTCAGAGAAAAATGAGGAAAACCTAAAATACGTGGCATTATGGAAGAAAGTGTTTCAAGGAAAGGAAGAAGGCTTCCCATGATTGAATGTCACGAAGGAAACAAGGCAGATGGTGACTGCAAGAGCTCTGTTAGAATTTACCAGTAGGAAAGTCTCTGAGGACAATGAGATACTTACTGAGGTGCAGGTGGAAGAGGAAGCTGGGTTGTGAGGAGATGAGAAAGTGGAAATTTGGGTTGAGACAAATAATAAAGAGATAGCTGAAGAGAGATCAAAACCATGAGGCTAGAATGGGGTTGCTTTTTTAAACCAAGGACTTGAGTATGCTTAACTGAAAATGGAAAGGGGCCCATAAGAGACAGGGAAACTGAAAAAAGCAGATTAAAAAAACAAAACAAAATGAAACAAAACAAAACCTCCCATCCAGATGCTAAGGAATTAGACACAAGCTTTATTTACAACCCAAATTTTTGCCCCATTCTGAGCCTTTGCCTATAAAACCTACCAAATCCCTGTGGCCCAATATTAACTGACTTGAAAGTTTGGACTCATGGGGCTAGGACACACGATAAAAATGTGAGTTTTTATGTTTATCTCCATATATTCTCTTTCTCAAAATATATTTACCTAAATGCTCACGGGAACATTTCCCAGGCAAAACATTGCAAAGACACACCCCTATAATGGCTCAAGGCTAAGAATTTTCATTGATCTCTAACCCAGTTTTATGGATCAACAATCATAGTGACATGCTTTTTCTTTTTTGATTAACCTGAGCTTCTCAGACAAAATGTTACCTCTGGTGAAGGTAGTTTGTCTGGAAAATCATCAAGCATATCAGAAAGCAAGGCATCTCCAAAAACAGACTGCAAAGTGTCTGCCATCACTTCTTGTTGGGAAGGGGAGCAGTGATTTTCTAAAGAGAGCACCACTGGGTAGTCAGATGTCTAAAAAATTAACCATTACTACGGTTACTGATCAGAACTCCTCAATGATTGTAATGCAATTAACAGAAGCAATTAATCTATCTTAAAACTTACATTCAACGTTCTGTACCTTTGCAAAATAAGTATTCTTTAAACTGAAAGTACTTTTGAGTTTGACATAACAGGGAACATTAAATCTGTATAAAAAGGAAGATTGTTACTGTTTATAGTAGAAATATAGGCAACAACGGAAGCATCCAACAGTTGGTATTGTTTAAATAAATTATGCCATATCTCCTTAAAGGAATGATACAAACCTGGTAAGAAGGAGGTAATGCTATATATACTGCTATAGGAAGTTATCTATAATATAGTCTTACGAGGAAAAATACAAGTTGCTGAAGAGTAAAATTCTACACGTTAATATTTGAAGCATATATATGTTTGCTTATCATATATATATTTATTTTGATATTTTTTAATTCTAATTTTTTAATGTTTTTATTTCTTTTTGAAGGAGAGAGAGAGACAGAGCATGAGCAGGGGAGGAGCAGAGAAAGAGGGAGACACAGAATTCGAAGCAGGCTCCAGGCTCTAAGCTGTCAGCACAGAGCCTGATGCGGGGCTCGTACCCACAAACTGGGAGATCATGACCTGAGCCAAAGCCAGACGCACAACTGACTGAGTCACCCAGGCACCCCTCGATATTTTTAAATGTGAAGGGAAAAGTTTAACACCAGTAAGTAGAGGAAACTTAATTTTCTACTTTTTTAGTTTTAAATTCTACAATCAAAACTCATTGCTTTATAATTAGAAACAAAGATAAGGATATAATAATAAAGAGAATCTATTAAGTAAAGATTACTTTACAAAGAGATTTTCAGCCTATATAATTACTAGGGCACAAATTTACCAATTTGTAAACAAGCCAAGGACTTGCAAGGTCCTTGCATTATCACAGAGTTTTGAATAGGACATTATGCTTGTTTAATGTCTGAGTATATTAGTAGCTTGTGGCTACTATAGCAATTTACCAAAAACTTGGTTGCCTGAAACAATGGAAATTTAGTCTTTCACAATTCTTGGGGCCACAATTTTAAAATCTGTTTCACCAGCTAAAATCAAGGCGGGAGAAGGCTCTAAGGGAGATCTATTCCTTGCCTTTTACAGCTTCTGGTGGTTGGTGGTTCTATTCCTTGACTGTGGCCATATCACTCCCATCTCTGCCCCTCATCTTCATATCATCTCCTCCTCTGTATGGCATTAGAGCCTACCCAGCTCAACCAGGATAATCTCCTCATCTCTAGGTCCTTGATTTCATCAAATTTGCAAAGACTCTTTTTCCAAATAAAATAAATTTACAGGATCCAGGAATTAGAACTTTTGTGGGCACTTATTCAGCCTACTATCATAACCTCATACCTATTCCCATATACACTGACTCTATCTAACATCAAGAGAACAGTGTAAAAAATTTTCCCAAATATAAAAAGTGATTTTAAAACTAGGCAAAGTGATATCCTAGCAGAGAGGTTTTTCAATTAGCCCTGACTGCACTAACTGGGGAGAGTTGATCTTTTTTTTGGGGGGGGGGGTCTTCTGTGGTCCTTGGCTCCACCTTCAGGGAAGGCCCTCTTGTTTTTTATCCTTGGCCACATTTTTTCTTCTTCTTCTTGTTTTATTTTTTTAAGTTTATTTATTTATTTTGAGAAAGCAAAAGAGGGGGGAGAGAAAGAAAGAGAGAGAGAATCTCAAGCAGGCTCCACGGTGTCAGCATAGAGCCCGATGCAGAGCTTAAACTCACAAACCGTGAGATCATGACCTGAGCTGAAACCAAGAGTCAGACGTTAACCAATTGAGCCACCCAGGTGCCCCATATCCTTGGCCACATCTAAAGTAGGTGTTGAGGAATTTGCTTTCCTTAATGTCAGGCAACTTTTGCAGCTCACTTCTTGACCAAGAGTTGTTTTAAGGCTCACCTAAGAGTCAGAGTTGTGTTTTATTTTGTTCTGTTGTATTGTGTTGTGTTTTTGGCAATGTAATTCCCTTCAAAATTTAGACTTCTTATATGCTTGCTTCTAGTAAGTTACAGTTGCCAGCAACTGTACCCAAAGTTCTTACCTCATCATAATTATCAAATCTATTTTATCTTACTGCTCTCTCTTCCCCAAATTAATGGTGACTATCTCAAGTAGAAAATTGAAGCTTCATTCTAACCTTTGCTGCAAAAATGAGTCACCCTGTTCAACTGAGAAGTCTCATTGAGTTGGCTCAAAGCTTTTTTTTTTTCATTCCATCTTTTTCTCTTCGAGTCTTAAAAACCGTAGGGGTTTCCATCCTTGTGAGGCCTTTGAATTTTAAGATTGCCTCTATTTCCTCAGTTACCCACCCTGAATGAAGTGAGAGGGTCTGCTATGCAAATATTTGGGAAGAGTATTTCAGATAAAGGGAATAGGAGTTGCAAGGGCCCTGAGATGTGTCTGGAGAAGAGTAAGGAAGCTAGCATGGCCATGTGCATAAGGGAGAGACGAGTAGAAGTTGGAGGTAAGAGAAAACAGGTTAAACATGGCTTTTAGTTTGTATTTTGAGTGGGACTGAAGGTTTTGAGAAGCGGAATGACATTATTTGACTTACCAAAAAGTCACTCTGACTGAAACATTAAGATGAAACTGCAGGGGGACAGGGAAAAAAGCAGGAACATTGGATAAGAAGCCACTGCAATAATCCAAGTGAGAGGCGATGTCAGTTATTCAGCACAGTGACAGTGAGAATGGGGAGGAGGAGTTAAACTCAGTGTATATTTTGAAAATAGACCCAAGAGGATTTGCTAAAGAACTTATTTAAGGATTGGAGAGAAATGAGGGGGGGGGGGGATTAAAGTTGACAACAACAATTTAGGCTTGAACTCAGGAGTTAGCAGTAACTGAGATGGGGAAGACCATGGGCGGAAGAGGAAGATCTGGGGTCAGTTCTAAAAATGTTCTGTTAAATATGCAAGTGGAGATGTCAAACATGTACATGTCTATATTGTATGGAGTTCAAGGGAGAAATTGGGGTAGAGGTATAAATTTAGAAGTCATCAGAGAATTTAGAAATCATAAGAGAATCAATGCCATATATCAATGTTTTATACTAAAAATAGAAATGTTCCATATTTTATATGAATACTTTGCACATTTTTAGTATTTTGCACTCTCAAATAATAAGGCAGTTGATTTAAATTTGTGATTTTTAAGTTATGTTTATATTTATAGATAATGTATTGACCTACTGAGGAGAACTTTAGGTTTATCAAATTCTAAGTTTTAATTTCTTAGATATGTACTGTTTAAGTACTCAGTAAGATTTTGTTAAATCTCTTCAATGGCACAGCAATTGAAGTACTTAAGAAAGAAACAAATATTCTAACTTTATAAAAATAATTTAAAATACCTAAAGGTGCTTAATTAGCCACGTTTGTAAATAAAACCAAGTCTTATTTAAAATTGAGTGATTGTGGGCACCTGGGTGGCTCAGTTGGCTGAGCGTCCAACTTTGGCTCAGGTCATAATCTCATGGTTCATGAGTTCGAGCCTCGCGTCGGGCTCTGTGCTGAGAGCTCGGAGCCTGGAGCCTGCTTCGGATTCTGTGTCTCCCTCTCTCTCTACCCCATCCCCACTCATGCTCTGTCTCTCTCTGTCTTAGAAATAAATAAAACATTAAAAAAATTAAAAAAATATAAATAAATAAAATAATAAAATTGAGTGATTGTTAACACCCATTCAATCCTACTCAATTTATACACTAATTTATTTGTAGGCTGAATTTAGAAGTGCTCAGAACTAGATCTGTGAATCCATAACTTTAATAAATCCAACAATAATTTTTAAACCCAAAATAAACTTCTAAGCATACTTTGCTTGGGGTCCCTGGGTGGCTCAGTCAGTTAAGTGTCCAACTTCAGCTCAGGTCATGATCTCATGGTTTAGGGGATCAAGCCCCATATTGGGCTCTCTGCTGTCAGCACATAGCCCCCTTCAGATCCTCTGTCTCTCTCTCTCTCTCAAAAAACTAAGCTTTAAAAAAAAAATTCTTTGCTGTATGAATAGCTGCCATCATAGTCATAAAAAATTTCAACAATCTGTATAACACATTTTTGACACATTTTATCTCATGTATTGAAAGTAAGGTAATTGAATATTGGTAAAATATTTACTATTATATAGACCAGTATTTCTCAAACATTTTTTGCCTGTACCTCAACTCATGGTAAGAAATATATTTTACATTGTGACACAGTACACACACACACACACACACTCATATATATCTATATCTATATCTATATCTATATCTATATCTATCTATCTATCTATCTATCTATCTATCTATCTATCTATATACATATAATATGTAATTAAACAAAAAATTTCCTGAAACATGCATCTTACTACCTGAGATTAACTTCAGTAAATCTACCTTTAACTATATACTACAAAAATCATAACACACAATTTGAAATATCACTGATCTAAACTAAGGCCAAGCATTATAGGATTTTGAAGCAAGTAAATTATATCGTGTTTAGATAACTATAATTTAACAAAGATACGCACGTACTAAGAATGCATATTTGTGTATTGCTTGGATAACTGTTTTAAACAAAAGCTTGCTGGTGAGTGTATAACCATGGTATACAATGGGTTCATTTTGTGATCCATCCCAGCAGTCAATTTCCAGACAACGGCATCCTTTCACAAGGGCACTAACAAAATTTAAACAAAATAAATGGTCAATTCTGGATCATTAAAAATATATACCACAGTATGAAAAATCACAAAGGCTATTTGTGATTTTGCAATAAATGCAGAACTGAATCCATAATAAAGACAAGTTGTCGTGTTAAACTGAACACACTTTTCTTATTTTCTGTGAGCACAGCCTGAGGTGGAAGCGATATGTACCAACCCCAGTTCCAGCACCATCAGGATGGTGCAACGTGTAGTGCTATTGACTCTGAATCCTGCAATTTCTCCCTATTCCTTACACTCTAATTTCTACAAGGGCAGGAACTAAAATTTCAGTCTCAAAAAAATGTTTGTTATATATAGTTCACTATCGATAAACATTTATTGTGTTTTTAGTAAGAAAAAAATGGGAATTATAGGGATGTAAGAAGAAACGTGGAAGGCAGACAGAGTGATCTCCTAAAATACAATCTTGGAGGAGAGATTGAATGAAAAGAAGGCTGACCTGAGACCTAGGATCTTAGAATAGATAGCCATGGGTCAGGGAGTAGATCAAAGAAGTCCCCTGCCATACATGGAGATATTTTTCTCATAGAAAACCAAGTTAACACTTGTTTTGCAAGAAGAATATTGGGTTATCCCCCTGTCTCTTGTCCAGTGGTCTTCAGTAAGGACAATTTTGCCTCCTAGGAGACTTTTGGCAATGTCTGGAGACACTTTTGGGCCACAACTTGGAATGGAAAGGAGATTTGCAACTGACATCTAGTGGATAGAAGCCAGGGTTACTGCTAAACATTTTACCATGCACAGAAACAGCTCCCACAGCAAAGAATGATCTGACCTCAAATATGAAGACCTGAAAAACCCTGACCTCAGCCATAACAGAAGGGAGTGTGGTCCCAGCACCAAGTACTTGATACAGAATCAACAGTTCTTACAAACAGAAATATAGAGTATCAAAGACCATATGAGAAAATAGACCTTTTCAATTTAATACTTCTTTGGGGGGTCAAATTTAGTCTATTTTCAAAGCAGATGACGTGAGAAATATTTACATAGGAGTGTTAACTGAGAAAAACTAAAGCAATTATGACCCCAAAATCCAGGTGTTGAATTAAAAACATAGAGACCTTATGCTCCTCGGGAATAATATAGACAAAAGATGGAGGTAATCTGAGGAAGTAGAGGATTAGAGGGGAAGAAAATTTGCAAATCTCATCTATATTTTCTGAAACAATGGAAAATATAAAATTAAATAATTAATAAATTATTTCTTGAGGTTTGTTTTTTAAGACCACTTTGTTTTTACTTTTTAAGTGCACATGGCTTTATTCACATCTATAGTGAGGCACTGTAATGTAAAATTTCAGAGTTTTGTTAGTCTGCTTGTCCTTGTGTTGGAGAAATGACCTAGAATGTTCTTCTAAGAAAATTGTGTTTACCTATAGATATTTCCATGGGTGAATAAGGTGACTGTCTAATTTTACATACAAGTCCTCAATTGGGCTGTATTTGTAGAATTCAAAATGAATGTGTTTCTCATCTTGTGGATTTACTTATGTATTTAGATTTTAAATTGGAGAAGAAGCAATATCTATTTGTAAACTCTATTAATTGCCATTTAAAAATGTTTGCATTATTTGGTTGATTGTCAAAGTAAATTGTCTTGCCCTTTTTATCACTACAGCATATCAGTACTCTGGGCTGCTACCGGAGAATAAACGCTCTGCTGGGAAAACAAAAAATTACCAAAAACAAAATTGTGAAAGAAAACTTTTCATGAAGGACAACCTGACTAATACTGGTTCTTGCTACTTCTCTACATAACTTTAATTTTTTATCCTTAGATCAAGCCAAACTTTACCAAACTGCTTATTTCAAGTACATGGTTTGGTCCCCAGCAAAAATGATTTGAGTGGATTGCACTGTGTCAGGCCAACTCCTTTTATTCAGAGGCACAAAAAAGGAAGTTGTGTCTTCCCCAGTGGTGTTGTGGAAGCCACATTCTACTATTTCACACTGAGTGCCCTTTTTAGAAATGAATAATAGAAATTTTTCTGTCACTCAGTAAAAAAATGTTCCATTTCAATAAGTTTAAGGGGCTTTTCATGGATTATGCTATAAGGCAGTTAATGCTAGTTTTCCTTTTTTAGAGATGAAGAAGTTGAGACTTAAAGAGGTTGTATCTGTCATAATTAACAGAGGAGTGAAAGAGAGGAAAGATCAGCACCAGAAGCTTAACATTAATCAATAAACATTACATTATACCACCTCTGATGAATAGAGAAATTTTGAAAAACTTGCATTCTAAGACTGTATCTTGCACAAGTGGGTAAACAAACAGAGGAAAAAATACAATTAAATTTAAATTTAAATGTTTAGTTGGGTGGAACATTTTCTTCATTCAAAAGTAAATTTTCTGCATTTCTAAATCAACGTGATTAAAATGCATATTTTCTGTTTTAAAAAATAAAGTAATTAAGTGTGAGTAAAAATTTCTGTAATGAAAGTATAGCTATGAATTCTTATAGATTTTTAAATGGATAATTTCTGAGCTTGTGGATTTATGTGTTTTCTTTTTTCAACTGGAGAAGCTATGTTTATTTGTAAGTTTCATATTATCATGGAATTATATCTTTTCTATCCATGTTTTCCTTAATTATGTCAACCAGTCACATAGCTTTGAATATCATCTATATGATGATGACTTCCAATTTTATTTTTCTAGTCTGGATATTTCTTCCAAGTCCCAGACACATACGCTTAACTGACTGTCTGACCTAGCCATTTTTTCAAATGTTTCTTTCTTTCTTTCTATTTGAGAGAGAGGGAGAGGTCATGAATGGGAGAGGCACAGAGAGAAAGGGAGAGAGAGAATTCCAAGCAGGCTCTACACTGCCAGCCCCAATGTGGGGCTTGAAATGGGGCTTGAACTCAGGAACCAGGAGATCATGATCTGAGCAAAAATCAAGAGTCGGAAGCTTAACCGACTGAGCCACCCAGGCACCCCCAACCTAGCCAATTGATAATGAATTGGTATCTCAGCTGAATGTGGAAACTACTACATTCTTGCTTTTGCCTCACACCCTACACCAGCTTCCTCATGCTTCACTATCACTGTCGATAGTATCGCCATGTGCTAAGTCATCAGGCCAAAATCTTGACTGTACTCTCTCTCCCTCACACCTCCCTTCAAATCACCTGATAAGTCTTTGTGGCTCTGCCTTCTTAAAATATTTCAAATTCAACCACTGATCTCAACACCTGCCTCATGAATTCATCTTCTAAATAACCATCACCACCTGCACCATTACAATATCTTCCCCAATCATCTTTTACCTCCACTTTTGCACCATCAGTCTTTCCTGCGCAGTAAAAAGTAAATAAATTATGACATTGTTTTAAGGAAAACCTCTCCAATTGCTTCCCAATACCACTGGAATAAAATCCAGTCTCCCTTCCGTGGCTTCAAAGGCTCTCATAAACTAGTCCTGTCTACTTCCTCAAGCTCATTTCTCCTCATTCTCCACTTGTTTCCAGACACACTTGCTTTCTCTCATTTGAACATGCTAAGCACTTACTATTTCTTCGATTTAGCATGCCCTTCCTACAAAGAATTTCTGAGGTTTCCTCTTTATCATCACTCAGACCAAACTATATCACCTCTTGAGAAGCCTTTCCTAACCCTTTAACTAAAGTAACACCCCCCACCCTGTTATGTTACCCTAGTTCACTTTCTCTATATGACTATATCTGTTTACCTGCTTATTATGTCTATTCTCATGAACACATGAGCATAGCAGCTCTGAAAATCTTGTTCACCAATGTATTCTCAGCTGGCTGACTAAATTGAAGACTGGTATTGACAGTGTGATACATTGTAGAATGCAAAATTAGAGGTGTATAATGAATTGCTTTTAAGCTATGTAAATCTATCATCTAGCTACCTATCTATCTATCATCTATAAATGCCGAAGTATATAATTTATCTATTTATGTGTTGATTTCACTTATAGCATTGTGTGTTGATGTCTGGGAATTAATTTTAACCACATTTTTGGAAATCTGAGCTGTCTTGGCTAAATAAGATAAGAAAATTCTTCTTCATATGATTTTCTATAAGAAATATCCAAATTATTCAGGAAACCTCGGGCCAATAACCAGGCAGAGGAGGTCAACAGACAGAATTAGAAGGAAAATGAATGATACTAAAACACAGAATAATTATATAGCCACCCAAAGGATGGCTCTCCAAGAGATGCACAAATCAAAATTTCTTTTTCCTATGTTTTTGTACAACATGCAAGCCTACTTTCACTGTGAATTACCACCTATTGGAAATTCCAAGTGTTTTAAGATGTAATGGTTATAAAAATCAAAATAAATACCTTACATATCCCCAAAGGTCACTTGGTCCCAGTAACTGGTCAGATATCAAGTAGGTATTATGTGAACTTGAAATAAAATAATCATTTAGTGGTTGAGTCATATCTTGATAAACTCTTCCACAATCAGGTTTAAATATTAGACATTCAGATGAACCCATGTATCTTATAAAACCTTCAAATGACATCCGATGTGCTCTCTTAACTATAAAAAATAAAAGGATGCAGAAATAACGTTAACTGTATAAAAATTACATCTCACTTATTCAATAGTAAAGCATATTTCTAAAATATTTAAAATTAATAATGATACTATTTCTAATTTTACTGTCAAAACAAATTTTTTTTCTAATGAGTACCCTTAGTTGTTCTATATCAACATTCAAGTAGAGAGTATATTATTTAATCTCTGATTTTTTAATATTTTAAAAATACATACAAGAAAATACATATATCATAGGCCAATGAAATTCCATAAGCTAAACATCTAGAAAACCAGCACCCAGCTCAAAGAACAAAACATTGCAGAACCCCAGAAGTCTGCCTCCTGCTAATTTTTTACTCTCTCCCCACTAACTCAAGTGTATTCAGTGGTCTGGCCACTGATCACCTAGATTAGTTTTCTCTGATACATTATTAGCTTAGATGGCCATTTAGTTTAGACCAGATGATTATATTCAAAAGTGAAGGAAGAGCAAACAAAATTTAATGTTTATGAAATGTTGTAGACAATTACGTGTATAGACAATGGAGAAAGTAGTAATTTTATAATATTTTATTCATTTCCTAGAATAGTTTTCACTTAGCTAATTTAATATTTCTATATATTTTCAATAATGTAATGTATGAAAGTAGAAAACTGCCTATTACTTGGTTTTCCTCTTATTAATGAAAGTGAATATGCTTTCTTTCATTACAGTACACATAACAGAATTTCATCCTGCTTTCCATGCCTAAGCTCATTTCTGAACACTTACGAGATATACTGAAGCAGTTAAAAAAAAAGAAGAAGAAGAAGAAGCTGGACAATGAGGTAGGAAAGAATGTAATTGTTTACACAATGTAGTTTCCTAAAAGCTTTATATACAGTCTATAAAATATAGAAATAAAACTGCCAATATTTTATTTTATCCAGAACAAATTTGACCCATTCAAAAATTTGAATTTGAGAACTGTAATTCATAAAAAGTACATTGCATTTAAATATTTGATAAAACTTTGAAATGCAAGCATACCTTCTTCAATAGGCTCATATTTCTGAATGATCTCAAAAGCAATATTTTGACTCATGTCAAGTATATACTGTTCTTGTATCAAAAATTGGAGCAGGTTTTTTTCAACAAGAAATTTCTGGTTACCAGAATACGTGTTGAAAATCTCAACAATTTCTTCTCTGTGCGCAATAATTCGATAAATTGATCTAAATTCTTCTATGGTGATTCTTCCTTGCTTCAGCCTGTCATTATCCTACTTAAAAAAAAAGACTGGTGGGCTCACATGGTGAATATAAAAAACACAAAATAAATGAGTTAGAGTATTTGTATAATGTATAAAACAACCAATATGTGAAGGAAGATGAATCTTACATTGGATTCACATCTCAAATAAAATCTATAAAACTGCACGAAATGACGCCAAAGTGAAAAATCACCACCTAAAACCCAATGGCCACATTGGGAATGGAAAAAGGTGTGGGAAATCACCAGGATTCTAGGTTGTCTTTCAATTATACATTTCATTTTTCTCTTCCACTCTCCTTCAGTACCTTCTTAAAACCAGACAGTATGTAATCTCATGCCACAGGTATGTGTAAACATCAGAGTAAATCAGACATTCAAGGTCACTGTAAGCTACAGAAACTCCAATAGTGGCGGTAATACTACAGTAAATGCAGTAGTTATGTATCTTAAGGAAGTGGAATGTACATAATCACTGAAGAATTGGGGGCAGGGACAAACAAGTTAGGTTCCAATAAGAAAGAGTGGATTCACCTGGCTCTTCTGGAAGATTCATGTTTGAACTTTATGAGACAGACACAAAGTGGGCTGGGTCCAGTTACTAAAAGTAACAGAAACACTGTGAGGTTTCTGAGTAGCAAAATGACTAGCAGAAGTAAAAGCTTAGAATGATTAGTTTGCATAACCAATTGGAAGAGATAGAACTGTAAGATGGATCAGAGAAGATGCAATCCAGGCAGGAGGTGGTGAGTAGAAACAAAAGAACTGGTATCAGCAAAATTATGAACAGAGAAGTCAGAAGGACTCAACTTATTAAATTTTACATGCATGAGAGAGAGAAGTCAGGAATGTCTAGAATCAGGGAGAGTTAGAATAAAAACTAGTAGAATCATTTACAAAAAAAAACAGGGGGGGTATAGGAAGTATACCTTAGAAGGAAATTTAATTTCAAAAGAGGCTATTTATTGACATTCTTTCTCATTACATTGTAAAGAGCTTGAGTACAAGGAACATGTGTTGAAGGGCCATTGTAATGTGGTGAAATCTGACCATTTGTAAGTAGAAGGAGCGAACATTACATTCCTAGCTCCAAAATAGATGGGAACTTGGGACATATAAATTAAACTCTCTGAGCTTCATAATTAAATTAAACTCTCTGAGCTTCATCTGCATAGTGAGGATAGCACTACCTATGTCATCAAATTGCTGTGAGGACTGGAGATACATTAAATGGTAGCTGCAAATATCAATGTATGGTTATATTTTGTCAAGTTCTGCTTCCCTCACATCATCCAGCCTAGTGTTTCCTCTTTTGCACTTGTGCCTATAAAATGAATCCCCAGGGTACAACACGGGGTAAACATGGTGGAAATGATCTACTCATTTCATCAGCAAAATTTCAGTAGTAGACCAGTTTGATATGAGGGATCCAAGAGGCAGTCGGAGCTGGGAATCAAACAGGAAGAGCACCAGTTCAGTTCACAAACGAACATTAATCCATGTGTACGAAGCAACTTGCAGAAGCAGGGACTGAAATAAAGCCCCAGGTGGGAATGAGACGGAGATAAGTTTGACAGAAAGGCTGGGATCTATGGTTGTCAAATTGGGCCCAGAGCTCATTAAAATAGCTCCTTAAAATTATGTAATCTTAGAGTAATTCATATTATCAATTTATCTTAGTTGACTAACAAGATTCGACTTACTATTTTTAAATCCTGGATTTTGAAGTCTACATAAGTCAATGTTATAGAATTAAATTTACTTTATTTTAGCCCCATCCCACTCATAATTTGTTATAAGATCTTTAACAAGCCCATAAAAACCAAAGTGCGCCCATAATTCCTGAAAATTTTGTTATATAAAATTGTATAAATTAAAAATTACAGTCCTACTAAATAGCAGTGTAAAATAAAATACATTATCCACTAAGTAATAACAGTTTTATTACTTTCGGGCAAGGTTTAAACTTGGCAATCTGACTTGTTCTGTTTTGTTTTTCCCAAAAGATCAAAGTTGTCATCTGATACTAGAAAGCATTAAAGGTGTAGAGTTCAAACAAAATTTCACAAATCCAAATAATTGCTGTAATTGATCCTACCCAAAGGAGTCAACCATCAAAAATTAATTAAATTGCCAAAAATTAAAAACCCCACACAACACGTGAAAATTGTATTACTGAAGATGGGAAGTTTTAATTTTAGTAGAAAGAGAAGGAAATGGAAAGCAACAAAAGTCACTAATCATGGAGTCTGGGTAACAGCATTGGCAGCAGGGGAAGAGGGAAGAAGGAAAGTGATGAGCAAGAAAGATTCAAATCTGAGGGCTGAGACACATAATAGTGGCTGAAGCAGATAGAATAACAATGTATTAATTTAATATCTCCCCTGTAGGAGGAAAATGGAGTTCAGAAATCATATGTCAATTGTCCCCAATCCCACAGAAAAGCAGCAGGAAAAAAGACATACATGTCAATCAATACACCACTGTGCATATTGACAGTATATAAGCAAAATTAAATTGTGCAAAATACAAATCCAGTCCCTTCAACTACCTCTTAAATTGCTCAGTATTTCTTTTTTGTCTTCCAGACAAAATCCAAACTGCATTGTCTGGCATCCAGGGTCCTTTAAGATGTCACTAATGGCAACTGCTCTCATTCCTTTCTTCCTTGTACCTCATACTTTTGGCGCTCTGAATTAGTTATAGCATAAGTAACAAGCTCTCTTGCTACTGAATAGGCTGTTTCTTCTGTCTGGAATACCCTTCTTTAACTTCCTAACCTACTAATTTTTACTCATTCTTTTTTTCATTTTTTTAATTTATTTATTTATTTATTTATTTATTTATTTATTTATTTTTATTTTTATTTTTACTGACTATTGAAAAAAGTGTCTTACTCTAGAAGTCTTCCCAAAGTCCCTGTCTTCTCCCAGGCCACATTAGATATCCCCCTGCCTCTCAGTTTTTATAAGACTCTGCATCTTCTTCTATATAGAGTTTATTACACTGGAGTGAAAGCCTTTTTTTTCTAAATCCCTTCTAGAATTGCCTTGGATAGGAAGTTTGCCATTTTTTTTCTTATACTCTTGGTACCTAAAAGAGTGCCTGGCTGGAGGTATTCAGAATATGATCTATCACCTAAACAATGTTGTAATTCTGGTGAAATATGTGCATTTAATTGGATAAAGGAGTTAATATATCCCTAAACCTAGGAAGAATAAGAAAAGATATTTTTAAATACACATCATAGAAAATATGCAAAATGCCAGGCTCCACGTTAGGGAATATTGTAGCTTTTAGAAATGTTACATATTAATCATTTATAAGTACAGCATAAAATAAGAGTAATGAAGCCAGTTTTGTTTAAAAAAATATTCATTAAGTGTTTTTTTTTACAAGGCATTATAAAAAGAACTTTATCAAAAAACTCATTCAATGTTTATGTATAATTTAAAAACATATCTCATACCTTAAGATCATAAATGCCATGAAGATAGATATTTTATTCTTTTTATTCCAATGCCTAGTACTGGACCTACCCTAGCATAGGACATCAGTGACTGTATGTTTAAATGTATGGTTGAAAACATGAAGCTAAAAGAACATATTAAAATAATTCTATTGATATTCTGATAGTATACGTTCAGAGAACAGAATCAAAGCTTTTCATGTTGTTCCCGGTTTCCACTGCTTAGTTTGCTAGTAAAAAGATGAGATGTCACTTAAAATAAACAACCATATAAGAAAGTTGATCTATCAAAACATAGAATTTACTTTTAAATTAAGATGAGGTGTTTTAAACTTGTCTGTAAAATTACACTAAAAACAAAGTATTCTAAATATATCACAGGATCTGACATATTAACTTATTTTTTTTTAATTTTGTTAAAGTTTATTTATTTGAGAGAGAGAGAGAGAGAGAGAAAGCAAGCACATGTGAGCCGGGGAGGGGCAGAAAGAGAGGGAGAGAGAGAATCCCAGGCAGGCTCTGCACTGTCAGTGCAGAGCTCAATGTGGGGCTCAATCTCAAACTGTGAGATCATGACCTGAGCCAAAATCAAGTCAGACGCATAACCCACCAAGCCACTTAGGCGCCCCTGACATACTACTTGAACCTGCTTAGCAACTTTGTCTTCTGTCTTCCCTTTCTTCCTAACTAAATATTTGAAGCAGAAATGAAATTGGGTAATAAGGATGTAAAGGCAGCACCTTATCAGAACCCTCTGGGCGTTCATATTCTAGAAAAGGAAAGCAAGTATGAAAGTGTTATAATAGAAACTTTATACACAACAGACAAAGAAAGTTCAGTGATTCTTCTTGGAGACAAAAAGAGAGTCTTTATAGAAAAGGTGATCCTGGAGATGAGCTTTCAATGACAAGGAAGATAGTTGCCTGAAAATGGGGAGAAGGGTTATTCTAATTGTTGGGATCAGAGTAAATAAACACGTAACAGTACAAAACAGGTTATTAGAGAGGATGTTAGTAAAGCTTCAGTGAGAGAGAGAAAGGTGAAGTCAAAACTGTATCTAAGGGGCCCTTGGCCCTGAGGCCCTCAGACTTCATTCTCAACCAGTGAGTTGCTGATGAGCTTTAATGAGGTAAATCATACAGATTTTGTTTTAGAAAGACTACTATGGCAGCTATAAAGAGGGGAGATGCTAGGATTCAAAGCAAGGAACCAGTTCATAGGGCTATTCAAATTTTAATGGACATATAAGTCACCAAGGGACTTGTTAAAATGCACAGTCAGCTTCAGTACGTCTGATGCTACATTTCTAACAAGCTCCCAAGGGATGCCAGAAATGCTAGTCTGAGGAGCACGCCTTGAGTAGCAAATAGTTGGAGACCAATTGACTTTGTGTAGAAATAAAATACACCTTAAAAGATTTGAAAATTGGATGTGGAGGTAAGGTAAAAGGACGAGTCCCGGAATCTCCCAGGTTTCTGGCTTCAATAACTGAAAGAATGGTGCTTCCATCACCAAGAAAAGAGAAGACGACACTTTTGAAG